GTGGAATGCTCTTTCTTTTGCAAGCTGTCGCGGCGAAGCACGTGACTCTCTTTTTTTTTAAATGAAGGGTCGAACTTTGGCCGTATACCACAGTGTGGAATCAATAATAATAATAATAATAATAATAATAATAATAATAATAATAATAATAATAATAATAATAATAATAATAATAATAATAATAATAATAATAATAATAATAATAATAATAATAATAACTTTTGTTCGCATCTGTAAAAAACAAATAAACGGGCCTGTCTAACTCCTGAGGAGTTGTGCGACTATAACCCGGAAGAGCTGGTTACAACGTTGTGGTTACAATATTAAAAAACTATCTTTTTTTGCCGACGAACAGACTAATGATTCGCACCATTGATATTTTACAGGCAGTAATAAAAAAGAACAAGGGGGGGGCAGATCATAGGTGACAAACAAGTATACCATGTGATCTCACAGCTCACAGAGTAATTTTTTCAATAGCCTTTTCGAACTGGCTAAAAAAACTCTTCTGGTAGTTCATTGAAAATTTTAGGAATATATGTGCACTTCTACACGCCTCTCGTAGAAAAACTGGGGTAGTACCGCAAAGTACTTTTACAGCGAAAGCTGTTATGAGATCACAACTCGGGTCACGCGCAGTTGGATGTTGTCCGCCGCCGCCACCGGTTTCTGTAACCACATTGCGCCAAATTAGAAAAAAAGACCTTGCGCTAATGACACAGAGGGGCTTGCACCCGGGTTCGCTGGGCGCCAGCTAAATATTTTACTACTTAGTTACGTCGGGGCTTGTATCTTGTTGTCAAACTTGCTTTAGTCAGGCATGATCTAGGACCAATGGCAAAGTGGCGCTTGAACCCGGGTCCGCTGGGTGGCAGCCCAGTATTCTACCACTGATCTACTCCGTAGCTTGTGACTTGCCTTAGGCAGGCTTGATGTCGGGAAAGAAATCGCTTTGATGCGACTTATAAAGCGTTTTACAATAGCGAAAGAACAACCAGTCGTCGCACAACGCGAGTAGCGTAACGAGTGGGCCGTCCATTGCTCCAACCCATTACAAAAGCTTGTTCTTGTTCCCCTATTAACTGTGGCGCGTAACCACTTCAGCCATAATTCCCCATCGTCGTCAGCCACTGCATGAACAATTTGCACAAAATTCCTTACAAGTGTTTAGCGGACACCGCGCTTCTTAGAAGTATGACGGAAAATAGCATATCGAATGCCGGCCTACTTTCCTAAAATTTTTATTATTAATGGCCTAGTTGGTACCAAGCAAGTGTGCTTACAGTAGTTACCCAAAGAGTGTTTTGAGAAGGCCGCTCTTCTGTGTAGACAAAAATAGATCAATGCAGAGGGGTAACAATAAAAAGTCAGCACGATAATCGTAGAATGGGAGTGAAAGACAATGCTTATTATACATAACAATGCGGAAGGCTTCCTAAAAGACGGAAAATGGAAGAGGTCGTACATCGTACAAAATTGTCAGTGGAATGCTCGGATGAAAACGGTGATTGTGGACAAGGAAAAACATCTAGCCGAAGAAAGTTAATGTTATGGAGGCTTTGTATTCTTTGAAGAGTAATGGAAGAAGCTGGCAGGTACATGAAATGGTTGGTTCTCTCTGGTTAATATGCGCCGTATTCAAATAATAATAATAATAATAATAATAATAATAATAATAATAATAATAATAATAATAATAATAATAATAATAATAATAATAATAATAATAATAATAATAATAATAATAATAATGATAATAATAATTATTATTATTATTATTATTATTATTATTATTATTATTATTATTATTATTATTATTATTATTATTATTATTATTATTATTATTATTATTATTATTATTATTATTATTATTATTATTATTAAAACGATGGCATTAATAAAAATAAATCTCAAGAAAAGACAACCACATACTCCCAGGCTACGAATATTTCACCGCTCTGCCTGGAGTTCCATTCAATTTTTTTCTTTGCATTTATTCAGCGATCTTTACACCATCTGCTTGATTTGTGTGCAATAAAGCGAGGTATGTCATTTCGGGCCACTGTTACCGACCACTCGACAGTTCAAATGAGTAAAACAATAGTAATTAAGTGGGTGCAGCCTAAAAATCCCGCACATTATTTTGATTTAGCTTGTATATAGACATGACAGCACGAAATTTCTAATATAGCCCCAATATAACCTTGAATGCGCAACAAAACTGTTTATTTGACACGAAAGTGTGTTGTTCCGGGGTCCTTCAAGAATTTGGTGACGTTTTTCTGTCACGAAAATGACGTCAAAAAGTGTACGCAACCAAATGGCAAATAAAAATGTTCCGTGAATGGACATCGAACCCACGGCCGTTCGGTCCACAACCAAAGATTCCGTGCATGCTGTCCACTGCTTTGGGAACACGCCTTTTATATCTGACACTTTCCTCCCGGAGAGCTCTTGGGCAGCGGGGTGGTGTCGCCCTCTGGGATTCACGTTTATACTTAAGACTGCTCAAACGTATTCCAGAGAAGTGCCTTTCATGCACTACTTCAATATTTATTGATTAGGGGCGTGAATTAAGTAGGGGAGTGCCTTGACCTCTGTCCCGCCAAATCTTCTAGAGAAGTTCTTCATGAATATATCTATGCTGTCATCACTTTAAAAAAAAAGTCCTTACTCAATTGAAACAACCCATAAACTCGTACTCCAAGGCATATGAAAAAGGCACAAAGAAGAGCAACGGTTACGTGAGATATTGTTACCAAAAGACATGGACACCCTGGTCAAATAAGATATTTCTAGACTAATGGACGCATGAGTTGACTCATTCGAACTTACTCATGCTCACATCAAGCCGTGAGTGTGAATATGAGTCCGGGTGTGTAATGATTCGGCGAGCTTGAATCCGTGTGAGTCCGGTTGAAGTAAATTTTTGTGAGTCTGGCCCAGGAAATTTTGGTGTGTCTGAGTCCGAGTGAATGAAAAGCACAAATATATTTCATGAGCGAGTCTGAGTGAGCTCCACAATCTTTACCGACTTATGCATCTTCTCGCACAGACCGTAAACCAATTTACCGACAAAGAGTCTAACGCTTGTTGTGGCTTCACTGCAGCAAGATTGTATTTGCAGAAATGCACGCTTTACAGACAAATTTGTGAAGATTGCGAAGTATCAAGAGACAGCTAGCGAAATATACTGCCAATTAAGGGTACACTACATAGATAGGCAAACGTATTATTAAAAAAACTATTATTATGGTTTTTAATATAAATAGTTATTATAAATAAACTATAAATATATTAGTTTTCAATATAAATATAGTGCTGCCAGTGGTGCAACTATATACACAAATCGCACACTTTTAAATGTAAGCATGACCTGCACTTGTAACGTGCAATGCACCACCCACCAGTTCAAATACAACTCTTACGGCGTCTGCCCTTACAGAACCTTGTAATGGCGTACCTCACTTTTCAATTATGAATTCAAGGCATTCAGCAAATGATTCCAAACCTGCTTTCCGGCAAATGACGTCCCTCATTTCTCATTTATGAATTCGAGGCATTCAGCAAATGATTCAAAACCTGCTTTCCGGCAAATAGCGTTGAACAGGTGGTGGCTTCTGACCATTAAAAAAATAATCATCGCTTATCCCCCTCTCATAGGAATTGGTGTAACAGGAAAGTGGAACGTGTCTTATGTAGTGCTTGTGGTGTAGTGATATATGAGAGCTTGTACAAATTCTTTCAGCGTTTCGCAGCTATAGCACCGTTTGACGTGGACACAGCCACGTTTACGCCTCGTGGCACGCATCCACCGCGACGACTACCACCCACGATCATCAATTAACCGTCGTGGTAACTGAAGTTTTTAACATATACCCGAACAATGCTCATCGTCAATTGCACAGAAAGATGACATCAAGAAGCACACACTAAACACTGCTACTCGATATAGGCGGCTTCAAATATCGTCAGTTATGGAGAGAAACAGCACAGTGTGCGCTCTTCAAACCTAGGCTTCAGAAGCGCGGGACGCAGATGTTTGTGGCTTGAGCTGCGAACCCGCACCGGCGTTCCCCGTCCTGCTGGCCTCACTATCGCGCCACCGAGGCACAACATCCGCCCATCGATATCATTGCCTTGCTGCAGTTCTTACTTCAGCAGTTTCATCGAATAAGCTGCTGCTATTACAGTCGGAATAGTCGTTGGTGAAACATCGTTGGTGCATGTGGAGGCTGCACGACTTCATCAACGAGTTGAAGAAGAACGGCTATTTGGGCTAGTTGGTTGGAATTTATGATAATAAGGGCTGCACCGCAAGTACGAAGGTGCTAGAAGAAAAGTGAAACGAAAGGCGAGGCAAGGAAAGCAAAGAGGCAAAGAGGCAGCGCTCGTGTTGTCCTCTTTGCTTTCCTTGCCTCGCCTTTCGTTTCACTTTTCTTCTAGCACCTTCGTGCTTGCGCTGCAGTCCTTATTATTCATCAACAAGCTGTGACGTGCTAACACGTCGGTGACTCTCCGATGCTCAATCGGTCAGGGTTTTTAACTGCTATCGAGAAGCTTTTATCATGGCCTACAAGACTGCGCATCGGCACGATATATCGGACGCCATTTATTTAACTGCGTCATGCCGCATTACTTCTCTTGAGCACTCGCAAACCGCGGCACCACATGCTTCGTTAACAGAGAGCATGGAACGAGAGTGCATGTGTGAAAACCATAAGGCGCGTTTGTTAAGAGCCTAGCAAGTGCTTCAATAGCTCAATCAGTAGGGCTTCGGGCACCTATCGTGGTTTTTCAAGGAGTCAAAGGTTCGATGCCTGGCGAAGGATTTTTCTTTCTCGTTTGGTGGCGTAAATTTTACGATGTCATATCCGTGACGGAAATACGTCACTGGAGTCTTTCTGGATCCTGGCATAAAACGATTTCGTGTTCAGACGCATCACTCACTCACTCAACTCACTCACTCACTCACTGCCAAGAGTGTAACTGCATGGTACCCTGTACGATCCAAGGTTGTCGATGACGCAGGGAATCCTGGCGTCTCTCCCGCGAGGTACGGTGACGTTTGGTATCACCTCCGCGAAGAACGGCGGCAGCTCTTCATCGATAATGTCCTCCGCAGTACCTGCATGACAGCCATAGTTCAGCGGAACTGCTTACTACACGAAGTTGCATAGGCAATGACCGCTTCACTAATTTGGTCCCTTTATATACCACAGTCAACAACCGACATCAGGGGTAGCAAGGCAGGCGGTAAACAAGGCAACTACGTCTGGCGTTGTCATACTAAAAATGTTGTTGTCATACAAGAAAAACAAAGGTACATAAACACACTGGCACTAGTGTGCACGTGTTTTAACAGTGAAGCTATATATGTTTTTCGTTGCGCTGGATAGTGCGAACAGATATGGTCATCATCAAGAACTGATGCGCGTTCGCTTCGTCCTCTTCAACTTCTGTTTTGTTCCCATGAACAGATTTGTCCGGCGTAAAATACAAAAACTAGCGCTGTGTATGTGTGGTTCTTGTAGCTTTCTGTCCCGTCCAGGTGCGCTCTTCCACGCTGATTAGAAAATATGAGATGTACGTTACTGTTACATTGTTAAAAATTCCGTAACACGACGTAACAATGACTCACGCGGCTAAAAATCTTGAAATACCACGTAATAACTAGATACGGTGCTAAAGTGATGATATGTGGGGCTTAACGTCCCAAAACCATCATGTGACTATGAGAGACGCCGTAGTAGAGGGCTCCGGAAATTTCGATCACCTGGGGTTCTTTAACATGCACCCAAATCTGAGCACACGGGCCTACAGCATTTTTGTCTCCATCGCAAATGCAGCCGCCGCAGCCGGGCTTCGATCCTGTGATCTGCGGGTCAGCAGTCGAGTATCTCAGCCACTAGACCACCGTGGCGGGGCACAAAGATACGAGAGGCGAGTTGGGTTTCGTGTAAATTTCACCACAGATAAACGAGCCGCAAGAGTGTTTCCACTCGACATGCGGTGGAGCGTTGCGGGCGAGGGAGAGGGTGAAACGAGAGAGAAGTGTGTTGTGAGCGGGCGGAGGAGCAGGCAGCTGCGGGTGCTGCAGTAAGCGTGCTGCAAGTGAGGGAGAGAGTGACGTCAGCGTGTACCTGCAAAGGAAGCGTGTGACGGGAACGTAAAGGCGCCCCGCCGCGGTGGTCTAGTGACTAAGGTACTCGGCTGCTGACCCACAGGTCGAGGGATCGAATCCTGGCTGCGGCGGCTGCATTTCCGATGGAAGAGGAAATGTTGTAGGCCCGTGTGTTCAGATCACGACCTGCTCTATAAACTTACGACCTGCTCATGTCCCCACTCCCCGTGTCGCCATATTTTCGTTTGCTTGTTTAATTTTTTTATTTAGCTAAAGTGCCACAGTACTAGGAACAGCACACCCTGACGCTACAACTTACCCCCATCGCTGCAGCCGTCAAACCACTTTTCTGAACTTGCGTGCGTGCGTCTGCTCGGTTTTTTTTTGTTTTTTACTAAGATGCTCGTGCAGAGATTGAGATCCGGTAGTGGAGACCCCGGAGCCAGCCACCGTGGTGGTTCTGACAGCTATAATGTTGCTTTGAGACGCTTAATCTGTGAATTGCTTGATTCACGCGTTAGAAACTGGGAAAACAATGAAAGGAACGCACACAAACGAGTGCACCACGACGTTCGTGCTTTGTCTGCTATGGGGGTAAGTAGTGGCGGCACCTGACGGCATCAATGGCCTTTACGCGCCAATTTTCAAATCCAAACGCATCCGTAGGGGTAGCGCCAATGAGCAGGTCGTAGGTTTATAGAGGGGGTCGTGGCTCAGATTTGGGTGTACATTAAGGAACCCCAGGTGATCGAAATTTCCGGAGCCCTCTGTTACGACGCCTCTCATCATTATATGGTAGTTTTGGGAAGTTAAACCCCACATATCATTAATTGACGTAAATGCGCAGCTGCGGCGTGACCTGCTTAGCACCGCTCCAACACCTGCGGCGAGGGGAATGCGTTGTGGAGCGTTCGTGCGCAGGTACGTACGTACGATGTTACACACGTTTGTAAAAGAGCTACTTCTCATCTAAAATACCAAGGCACCACCGGGACCAACGGCGATTCAAACCAGCGACCCCCTCTATCAACACCGCTCCACGCAAGCTATCCATCTCACTAACAGCAGCTCTAATATATATATATATATATATATATATATTATATATATATATATATATATATATATATATATATATATATAGTATGGGATATATCCACAAGGGAGCGTTGTCAACAAGGATAAATATATTTATTTCCCAACAGTTCGGGAGGGGACCTCCCTTCATCAGGGGATGAGTTATATAACTCATCCCCTGATGAAGGGAGGTCCCCTCCCGAAACTGTTGGGAAATAAATATATTTATCCTTGTTGACAACGCTCCCGTTGTGATATATCCCATACCTTCACGAAGACTAACTGGCCCATTGAATTATTACTCCCACTATATATATATATATATATATATATGGCCCCGCCGCGGTGGTCTAGTGGCTAAGGTACTCGGCTGCTGACCCGCAGGACGCGGGCTCGAATCCCGGCGGCGGCGGCTGCATTTTCGATGGAGGCGGAAATGTTGTAGGCCCGTGTGCTCAGATTTGGGTGCACGTTAAAGAACCCCAGGTGGTCTAAATTTCCGGAGCCCTCCACTACGGCGTCTCTCTAATCATATAGTGGTTTTTGGGACGTTAAACCCCACATATGCATCAATCAATCAATTATATATATATATATATATATATATATATATATATATATATATATATATATATATATATATATATATATATATAAGGAAAAGAAGTGTATACCTAAGGGCTCGTTTTTGACAGAATAATAATGAGATCTAACAGATAATAATGCCAAGGAATGTATAAGTTCACGTGCTACGTGACGCCACACAGGCTCAAGAAAGAGTGTGCCACACTTGCCGCCATGGCTACAGAAGGCGCTGGCTGACACTCCCACATTTAAATTCACATATATACCCAATAAAGTGGCTGGGACGATAGTCGCTGTGGTATCTCAGTGGTAGAGCATCGAACGCGTTATTCGATGGTAGCAGGTTCGGTTCCTGCCCACGGCAAGTTATCTCTTCACTCACTTTTCTTTCTTCAAATTTACCTTACAATTTGGTCTAATAACCTCCCCTGTACTTTCCTTGGCATTATTGTCTGTGAGATTTCACACACACACACACGCATATATATATATATATATATATATATATATATATATATATATATATATATATATATATATATATATATATATATATATATATATATATATATACATATATATATATATATATATATATATATATATATATATATATATATATATATATATATATATATATGTATAGGTGTACCTATAATATTAAAGATGCATAATAAAAAATAAATCAGTAGAAAGCCTTTACAAAGCAATGATCCCGGAGATACCCCTCACTCCGCAGCCCCCTGCGCTAGTCAACACAGCCATGTGCCATGCTTGTGCCAGTGATGTAACAGCGAGTTATCCATACGCACCATTTACTGCTCGCGGTACGCAGATCTCGGAACAGTTTGAGCATTTTTTTTTCTCTCAAAACCGCTTTTACATTTTCTTTGAAATTGAAAACTGCCCTTGATACCGACAAGAAACACTTGTGATGTACCACTTGTGAAGTACCACTTGTAATGTAGAAGAGGCAAAAAAAAAAAAAACACGGTATACTAGGGGTCAGATGCATCCACGTGGCAGGGAACGCAGAGGGGTCACTTAACCCATGCCACAGTTTAAGAAAAAATAAAAAGATCGCAGCATATACATGGAGTACATGATGATAAATGGGGTGAAGCGTTCGTCCGTTTGTGTGACCATCCGTGCGTACACCCGTCCATCCGTTCGTCCATCCGTGCATCCGTCCGCCTGTGCGTCTATCCGTGCGTCCATCCGTGCGTTCATTCCTGCGTTCGTCTGTGTGTCCGGCCCTGCGTCCGTCCATCCGTCCATGCATGTGTCAGTCTGTACATCCGTTAATCCATCAATCTATCTGGCGATTACCATCCAGCATTTTTTCTCAAGTACCGCCATCTCGCGTCTTTTCATCATATATTCAGCATATACCACTTCCATCGTACCACCTTCCAGCGGACATTTCAGAAGTAAACGAGAGGTGGCACCCGTGCACTTTCTTACGGCTGGCGCTTCGTGTCTACTTGCGGCCTTCCGCCACCTCTTGTTCGTGTCTATATACTAGTTCACTATATTCATGGCACTGCGACCCAACTCTCGCTAAACCTTGCTAAAATTAAGGAGGTTACGCCGAGCGAGTTTAACGTGCCGACCCTTTCTGGTCAGATAGTGCTCAAAGTGCGTGCTTCTTATACTAGTATTTTTTAGTAAGCATCAAATTCAAGGCAAATTTTAATGGAGATTATGTCACCAATACTCGTCTGTGTACTCTGTAAGTTATTTTATCAGAAACAACTATCTTGTACTACTACTACGACGACAACAACAACAACAACAACAACAACAACAACAACAACAACAACAACAACAACAACATATGGACTCACGACCCATGCCATAGGGAGCTTCGCCTCCAAAATAAAACAGCTTCGGTTCCTGCAGTGTAGACACATGCGTTCTTTTCGAGCGTCCTTCGTGCTGCAGTGGCGTGCTTAAAGTATCGAGCTGCTTGTAGTTCTTCATGTGATATTCAAAATTCTTGCTATCGAATTCATTGATTTGCCCTAGTGTCGAAATTGTGACTTTTCTTATTATGAAATGAGTTATATTCATTCGCTTCCCGTGAAAATAATAATAATAATAATAATAATAATAATAATAATAATAATAATAATAATAATAATAATAATAATAATAATAATATAAAATAATAATAATAATAATAATAATAATAATAATAATAATAATAATAATAATAATAATAATAATAATAATAATAATAATAATAATAATAATAATAATCGGGGCTTTTACGTCCCAAAAACACGATATTATTATGAGGGACGCGCTATTGATGGGCTCCGAAAATATATACTGACAGC